GCACCCTGAGTTTTCTGGCTCTTCTTTGACTCATTCCCAGAGTCCTCTGCTGTTCTACTGACCACACTGGCCTGTGTTATGGAATAATCTTTTTGTATACTGTGAAGATGCATCTTTGCCAAGGAGCCTTCTGATTGGTTTAATAGAGAGCTGAATGGCCAATAGCTAGGTAGGAAGAGGTTAGGAGGGATTTCCGGGCAGAGAAAAAAGTGAGAGATGAATCTAGGTGAGGGAGAAACATCAGAGGAGATGGAGAAAGGATTTGTAGGAGATGTGAAAGCCAGGAACCACATGGTAGCACATAGATTAATAGAAATGGGTTAATTTAAGTTAAAAGAGTTAGTTATAAACAAGCCTCATCTAAAGCTGAGCTTTTCATAACTAATAAGAAGTCTCTGTGGGTTTTTTTTTTGTTTTTTTTTGTTGTTGTTGTTGTTTGTGAGCTGGTGGCCCAAAGAAAAATCTGTCTACAGGCCTGAATTTACACAGTTCTGTGCTGGGACTAGAAGTGTGCACCAACAAGCCCAACTCTTCAGATTCTTTGTGTTTGCTTTTTGCTGTTTTCTACTTCTCTCCTAGCTCTCTTCACCTCGTGGCTCTGATGACTGCTGCTTCATGCCCCTGGACTTTGGTTACTGTGATCCACGACTATTATTAACAACTGTCTGCTCCAGACTCTTGCTTCATCTCTAAAGTTGTATCGCTGATTGTGCTGTAGGCATTCCCAGATGAGACGGCAATGTCTGAAGAGGAATCCACGGCCTCCCTCCTGCCACCACCCACTTCATCTCTTCTGTGTCTAGTGACCAATGTAAGGACTACCTGTTGCTTGGATGACAAACCTGAGGTCATTATCTGGAGTCTTGCCTTCTCATATCCTGATGTCAATTCCAAATGGCATCCGAACATAATGACTTTGTGCTGCGACCAACCTGCCAAGGGTGACAGCCACCTTGCTGATCACCAGGCTTCCACTCTTGTGCCTCTAGTTATGGATATACAGCACCCAGAATGAGGTTCTTGAAATCCATATAGATCCTAACATACTCTACCTTTGAATCTTCCTCAGGGCCTCCTCTGTCTCATCTTCTCTGCCTAAATGCAGTCACCCAGCCCTCCTCCAAGTCCACCCAAATGCTGATCACATCGCAAGCTCCCCCAAATTCCTGCTACATCTATGCATGCTGGTACCTTTATGTCCCAGTAGAAATGGTTAGTGACCTCGGAGAAACAGTCCTTGAACCTTCTTCATAAAGGAGCCTTTTCCTACCCCACACCACTGCCACTCATGATATTGTTGTCGTCGTTGACGACCGTCATCATCATCATCATCCTTGTCTGCGATCACGGGGATAATCTGTTTCCTTATGCATTGTTTTCCTCCGCTCTCATGTAACCCTGAGTGCAGGGACCTGTCTACCTTGTCACTTTTTGTCCATATCGACAGCGATTTAGAAGCCAGGCGGATTACTGCTTTCTCTGACACGGGCACAGAAAGAGGGTTTACTCAGCAGTTCTCTACAACGAAAGCCAAGCATCCCTAGTCTTTGCATCCAGAAATGCTTCATGATCTGAAACCTTGAACACAACATGATTCCACAAGCAGAAAATTCCACATCTGACCTCATTGTGTGTTGCAGGCAAAGCACAGATATACAAACCTTCAGGGTATTTTTAGAGTTGCATAAGAAATGAACATGAACTTTGAACTGAGTGTAGTGGTGGCACATTAGAGGCATTAGAGACAGTAGGATTGGGAGTTCAAGGCCAGACTGGGTCACATACCCAGCTGACCAGCCTCAGCTACCAAGTGAAACTCTGTTGAGAAAAAAAGGGAAAGGCATGCAATTAGAGGTGGGGTGGGAGGGGGTCATAAGGGGAGGGAGAGGTTCCTTTACAGGAGAAAGAAGAAAAAAAGAAAGCAAACCACCAACCCGGGCCTGGGAGTGCAGGTCGGTAATCCCAGCAACTCAAAAAATTGAAGGAGGAAGGCCGAGTTCAAGGCCAATCTAGGCGACTTAATGACTCTTTGTCTCAAAACACTAAATAAAAAGAGAGAGAGAGAGAGAGAGAGAGCGAGCCTGGCGGTGGTGATAGATGCCTTCTAGCCAGCACTCCAGAGGCAGAGGAAGAGGCAGAGGCAGGTGGATCTCTGAGTTTGGTGCCAGCCTGGTCTACAGGGTGAGTTCCAGCCAGGGCTACACAGAGAAATCCTGTCTTGAAAAACAAAAAACAAAATGAAGTGAATGCAGGAGGGCGTGGGAACTTGGATTGGTATGTATAATGAAAAAGATAGTACTCTTTTTTTAAAAAAAAATAAATTAAATAAAAAATACATGAAAATTATGATTTGATGGGGTATATCCATAAGACTTGTTACATATATGTAGATAATATTTATTATGTATATGCAAATAACCCAGAATCCAAAATAAGCCTCTCAAATCCAAAAGCCTCCTGGACCGAAGCATTTTAGATAACTCACCCTGAGCCGTCTATGCTACTTACATTTTTCCTGCTAAGTCATTTGTTCCTCAATTTCCTCATCTAAAATGGAGAGAACAACAAAACCGCACAGAGCTGCTGCACGGACTCAAGGAGAAACCTAAACTCTCCGTGACATGGTTAGTGCACACTGAGAGCTTAATAGACAGCTAGTATGATTTCAGAAATCACGCGGATACATGCACTCCCATGCATGCGTGCAGATAGACAGGCAGACACAACACACACACACACACACACGTACATACATGATTTGGTAATCTTTTTTTGCTTGCCATGATGTCTTCCCCTGCCTGGCTTTGGGTTTCTCCTAACCCATCACAGCAGGAGCTCAGGCCCAGCCTTTAACATTTTCTGATCTGTCCCTAGCCGTACACGAGTTACCTCAAAATATAAATATTCTCCTCCAGCATAATGCAGTGGTTTCCAATGGCCTCCATTCCATGTACCCCACGGAGGTCTGTGAGGAGCAAATACATGCAAATGTACCCCAACATGCTGCATAGTGAAAGGCACAGGGTTAAATCAGCCCTGCAGTTAACAATGCGACTTAATACAGAGTGAAATGCGATCCTGCGGAAAAACATAATGGCTGCGACAATTTAATCTTCATCATTTATTATTTTTATTTGGACAACATATATACATATGTACAAAATACCTACGGTCAGAATCCTCTTTTATAATTTCATTTGATTTACAAAAACGGGACAGCAAAATAACTTAGATCACTAATACTGTACAAAAATAAAACTGATTAAACAGTTGTAAAGATCAGTATCTTACAGTGTTACAGACCATTCATCTGCTGTGAAAGAACATCTTATCTACCCAGAGCGATGAGTACTGATAAATCTACCTGCAAACTGACAAACTAACTGGTTTCTGTAATTGTAACTACCAAATATAATTCTCAAAAGAAGCGTGATGTGGAGCTTAAAGCCAGGGTGTCATTCCACAATGGTGAAGGGCTTTCTTCTTCCCTAACCAAGGAGAGGAGATATCTTACCTCTAAAACTAGTGTATTGTCCATGAATGACAACTACTTACAGGATTAGATAAAACGGCTTCTCTTTCTTTTTAAACACCTGCGATCGTCTTTCAAAAAATTCAGTTTGGTTAAAAAAGTAAACAAAAATTACTATCCTGCATTTGGATTTGTATAAGTTAAATCCATGGTCTTTTTAATATAAAAAGTAATTGTTTCATAGTTTTAGTGTTCAACGAACTCTAGTAGTCCTATTTGAACCATATCTCCGTGTAGTAAATCTAATTAGAATGCCGGCTCCTGTTCTGTGATGCAAAACAGGACTTATCACAAAGAATAAAAAGCCTTGAGTTTATACGTTACGTTACTAGAACATAGAAGAGAATATCAAATGTGTGTCTGTCAACAACTTGAGAAGGCAAAGTAGCAACTCTTCTGGGAAGGAATTGTGCATTTCTTTTTTAGACAAGTTGCTGCGTTTCTATCCATCTAAGCGTTCGGCAAGAGCCACATACAGATTCACTCCCGCAACAATGAAGATTGTCTTTCACCGACTAGTCTTTCCTTCATTTCTTTCTGTGAGGGAAAGCTGAGTTTATACAAGTTAGCAAGTTGCTAGGCAACCTCAAACTCCTCGCTCACTAAAAGGCAGCGCGCAGAGGACCCTATGCATAGCCTTTCCAGGAGCTCAGGAAGAAATAGGCAGCCTAACCTATTTCATATGGAAGAACAGATGTCCTTAAAACTTATTTTGGACAGAGAAATTAAAATTTGGTTTAAAATAAGCGTTTCAAAATCTGAAACAGAGGTAGAAAGTGTTCTTTATTTTTCCTGACATGTTTTCTCGTGAGAAAACACTTTCCTTTTTAGCTCATGGACTGCTCCCAGTCCCTAATGTTAAAAGCAGTTCTCTGGATAGAACTCCTGATGCGACTCCATTGGTTAAACAGAAAACACTGTGCTAATGATGGCTGTTGTACTGGAAGTCGGAGTCAGCTGTGCCCCGTGCCCACGGCAGGAGCACCCGCTGTCGGGATGGACTTGAGCCTCGCTGGGTGAAATGTGGAGCTCGTCGCACACCATGTGCGGCACATGGCTAAACTAGAGTGCACCGTAGCTCTCTGTTCTAGATAGCAGGTAAAACCGTCAGAAAGTGGTCTTCCTGAAGGAAAAAAATGTAAACATTTCCCCACGATCACTGCTGACTCCCCTCGGTTGAGGTTTTTGTTTGTTTTCGCTTTTTGTTTTTTTGCTTTTTTTTTTAAACTATGAAAACTGAGTTTGTTTTTTTCTGGCCGTTTTCAGTAAATGGCATAGGATGGAGATAGTGGTGTAGGCCACTGTAGACACCTAGATCCGAGCGAAGTGGTGGAAGCTACGGATGCAGACAGCTGGTGGTGTGATGTCACTCACGTGTGTCTCTTTGACCTGTGCCCACCAGAAGGGGCTGTTCTGCAGGGTCGCCTCTGGAGTTATTGTGGTGTCTTCCCTTGATACTTACTACTTATGGGGGGCAAACATTTTTTTTGTTTTTTTTTTTCATCTTTCAGCTCCCTTTCCTTTGATATAACTTTTACACCTCATAGTGGGAGTCTCATAGGAACACAGGAAGGCGACCAAGAAACATCCCCCCCCAAACAAAAACAAAAGCAAACAGGCATTCCAGGCCTGGTGATGGTATGCACCCATTTATCAACTAACACTAGAAAGAGCCGAAAGCTCTCGTCCTGTGTCCCGGTGTCATGAGCGTTAATAAGACGACATCATCTGAAAGGACGGGGAAATTCAAACAAATTCATGAAAGTTCAAACTGGTTGCTCACTTTGGCATCTTTCAAAACACTACCTTCCTCCCCCCTCCTCTTCCTCCTCAGCATGTGGTTTACACATTCTGCCCTCACATCTCTGCTACGGGTTCTCAGGGAAACGTGTATATTGTAAGATAAGCAGATTATAACGTGGTGCCAAACAGAACGTCTGCGTCTACCCTCAAAGCCTGTATTTACCTTACTCACCCTCGGTGTGAGAAAACAGAAGTGCAGCTTATGTTCCGATAGTACGAGTCATACAAAGCAGGGCTGGAAAGCTCCGGACTATCGCGACCTCGCGAAGGTCTGTCTTGATTAGTGTCAATTCGGACTCTGCTTATCCATTGACTATAAGTAACTTTTTTTTTGTTTGTTTTCAAGTCTTTAGATGACAGATCATGCTGGAGTAGGTGTGCTCTTGCTTGCATAAAAGACAGCTGTGCTATGGAGGGGTGTTTTTTTTTTTAAAATCTCAAACGTTAAAGTGATTCAGGAGAGTGGTTCTGCTAAACAAACTGAAACACACTGGTCGTTACATTAAGAGAGAAGGAAACAATTCTGAGAGTCAACAAGCATCAAGGACCCAGAGTCACTGTGGGAGGCCAGGGGTCAACTCACCCAGTCAGACGTATGTACACCAGTGTGAATCTTCAAACGCCTACCCCGAGTCTTGGCCTCGCCCCCCCCTCCCGCCCACCCCCCAAAACAAAGAAGAAAATACCAAAAGCATTTGCCTGCCCTCCAACAGTCAAGAGACGGTTCCGAGTTGCCTCTGCAAGGGGACCAAATGTTGACTTTGATCTTAGGCTACCATGTGCTTTTTGGAAACAGTACAGGGAGAGGATCAGAATAGTGACCATAGAGCAGTGACCTCCTGCGGCCGGCACGCCTCGGCTGGGGCTGGGGCGGGCTTCCGTGTGTCCGTCTGTTTCCTGGGAGCTTTGTCTTTCCGGGGACCATCTCTGCCTGGCCGCCATGGGGAGCACCTCACAAGGGGCTGGCAAGTGCCTTTTTTGATCGTTTGATCATGCTGGGGTGGAACTCGGTGTGACGCCGGGCATGCTTGGTGAGGTGGTCACTCCTCATGAACCTCTTCTCACACAGCGGACAGCGGAACTGCTTCTCGCCAGTGTGGGTCCGGTAGTGGCGGGTCAGCTCATCCGAGCGCGAGAATTTTTTAAGGCAGTCTGGCCACGTGCAGGGAAAGGGCCGTTCACCTAAGAGAAGGGAATCAAGACAGAACACGGTTTAAAGGACATGTCAAAAACATTGTGAAGGCCATCTATGAGGGACAATCGCTGTAACAAAAAGGATAAACTTCTTGTCGTGAGTTTTATGGGCTCTGCTGTGTTTCTCCCAAGCTCTCAGTTGAAGTCCTAACCCCTCAAACACATCTCAGAAAGTGGCTGTATAGTTGTCCCCCATCCATGGCGTCCCTAGCTGGATTCAACCAATAATGGATGGGAAAATATTTGGGAAGGAAAAACTGTCTCACATACTGACTTTTTACTGTCATTTTCTTTATGATGGAACACACATTTATACTATTACATTCATTACATTACATTCTATGCAAATGCTTGCATTGTTAAAAAGTTTATGTGTGCACATGGGCAAGTGTGTTAGGGCACTCATAAGGAGGTCGGAGGACACGTTTGTGGCGTCAGGTCTCCTCTTCTGGGATTGAACTCAGGTGCCCAGACTTGCACGGGAGTGCTACCTGCTCAGCCATCTCACCATCCTAAATGCTCACATTCGCGGTCACTGGGGGGTGGGGGTGGACCTTCATGCTAGGATGGGTGTCCTTGTAAGAGGGGACACGAGAAAGAGTACAGTGAGATCCTGAGACCTCGGTGAGCGTCCAGCCTCCAGAGATGACTGCTGACTCAGCCATAGGATGTCTGTGGTTCCTTCTCGCAGCCCTGGCAAGCTTACCGGCGGGGGGGGGGCCCCCCAGAAGGATATGGTTGAGAACCCTCAAAATAAATAAGCTTGGTTCCTGCACCCAATGCTCACAAGTCTTTCTTTCCTCCCTTTTAATTTTTTCCCATACAATTGTTGGTTTCACGAGCTCTTCAGATCAGACCAAAGGTCAAGCCCCCTTTGCTCTATTTTCTGTTATTGTGGAGATGAAAGTAGAGAACCGAGAGGCCACCTTCCCTCCCACAACAGACATTGCTTAGACGTCCCCAGGACTGTCACCACCTGGCATCTACCAGCAAGTCTGATGGTAGGAAGCCACCAGCAAGTCGGACGGTAGGAAGCCACTACCTGCGGAGGCGGCGCTTGAGGTTAAGCTGCACAGACTTCTCGGTTGCTGTGAACTGTGTGCTCCTGCAAAGCCCAATCTTCTGAGTGTCTCAGCACCCAACCACCACTGCTCACTAGCCATTTCTTCCTCAGAGTAAACACTTCCTCCACGCTCCTCCCATTACGCGCAGGCAGAGAGCTAGGGCCACCCACTCACTGCTTCCCTGGATCCCTTCTCACGGGGTCCCCCACATGGTGGCCATCATACAAATGAGAAAATGGAGATTTGGAAAGTTAAGCTACTTGCTCAGAAGCCATGAGCTCACTGTCTGCCCAGTGTCAAACCCTGAGCTTCTAGCTACTTGGCTGTCCTGCTTCTTGTAAGTCATGAGGTCTTGACACTTTTCACACATCCTTCCTGGTTCTGACTGCTTTCTTAAGGTTGGAGTCGCACCAAATTGTGCCACAGTCCGACCTGGAAGACATGCTCATGGTGGCATTAAGAGATACCCACCCTCTTACACACCCACCAAGATACTAGCAAGGGGGGTGGGACCATGCCATCCTTCCAGAAGGACACACACCAGCAGAAAAGCAGACTACACTGGTTAAGACTAGGACCTCAGTTGCTCTTGCAAGTACCCGTCACGGCCTTGCTCTGGGACCACCTGCCTGCCCTTCACACTGTTCCAAGCACAGTCCAAACCAGCTGCTTCGGACGCACAGGACACACAGGCTCCCGTTTCCACACAGCTCTCCACACACGCCTTTGGTAGGTGTGTGAGGAGCGATCATTTTCTCTCTCCTGTCCCAGGCTGACTGGAAGCTGGAAGGACACTGCAGAGGCTGGGAGCTGTCCAGCAGGATGTCCCTGAGTCATCAGAAAGACACTCTCTCCCTTCTTCACCTGCACCGACAAGATGCAGAAACAGTGAAGCCAAGTCCGCCAACTGTCCAGCCCTCGCAGGAATCTATACCTGCTACCCGCGGGCTTTTCTGTGCTCCAAGCAGAGCCCAGGTCTAACACTGCACAGCCTAACGATGGGCAAAGCACAGCTCCATGCAAGCTTAGGCTAAATCCTTACAAGAATGCTGGCGCTACCCACAGATGAGAGCAGAGAACCAGGAATGATATTGCACAGAGAGTTCCCAAGGGGAGTCAAGAAGAAAAGGCAGCCAGAAAGTTTGCACTGAGCAATCCAAAGCAAATCCCAAACAAGCAAGAAACAGGGGCTGCAGACTCTTGACGAGCAAGAAGCATTGCACCAACTTCAGTAGATCTTGGAGCACAAGTTGAAATCCAGATTGGATTGTAACAACTCTCTAGGATTGAGCTTCTTGTGGCGAGGAAAATATTCTATGTGACTTTTGTATTACCTGCATTAATTGAATGCCCAGTACCAGTGTGTGTGTGCGCGTTTGGGGGGGGGGGATCCAAGACTCCTACCCCAACATGGATACCATAATTTAAAGACTTTCAAGTTCCTTGCATAAGACTGTATATTTTATAGTTCCATATATCATAAGCACACCGTATGTATTTTCAATGATCCCTAAATTACTTAAATAGTTGTTATATTTAATTGTCTAGGGACTAATGACAAGGAAAAAGATCAGCATATGTCTAGTAGAAACACATTTTTCTGAATATTTTTATCTGTATTTGACTGATGTGGAGTCTACAGATGCAGGGGTCAGGTAGGTGTTACAGGGGTGTATTTATTTCCAGACACTATTACTGACCAAAACCTTCTCAGAAGTTGGGTCACTGAAGTAGACTTCAGGACTATTCTAGAATTAGGTTGCAACAAAGTCCTTCTAACTGCAAAAAAGCATCTACAGGGAAATGTTTTTTTATAAACAATGGCATGTTAAATATATAATAACAAAGCCAAGCAATGGTGGCGCACGCCTTTAATCCCAGCACTCGGGAGGCAGAGGCAGGCGGATCTCTGAATTTGAGACCAGCCTGGTCTACAGAGTGAGTTCAAGGACTGCAAGTGCCACACAGAGAAACCTCGCCTTGAAAAAAAAAAACCATAAATAAGTAATAAGTGAAAATAAAGAGACAAGTTGGGTTGGGGTCCCAGTACCCAGAAGATGGAGGCAGGAGAATTACGAGTTCATGGTAGCCTGGGCTACATAACATGAATCATATCTTTAAAAAAAAATATATATATATATATGATATAATAGATATAAAATGGGGAAAATATAACAGAATTCATAGGATAAGCTTCAAACAAAAAAGAGACAAAACCTCTTGCTTTCACCCTTGGAAGCTCTATCTACTGTTCTATGATGATCAGGAAAAATGGCGAGAAGACCTAAAATAGAGCTTTTCTTTGTCTGTCCAGAGCTTGTCAGTGACGTGGCTTTCTTGGCAGCGCACCACACAGGTTAGCGTTCTCACCGCACCTGCAGCTGTGCGTCAACTGAGTCGGGAGAAGGAGGGCTAATCCCATGATCTGTGTCTGGATCCAGGGAAAATGTTCAAGGGCCACTCTGTTGGCAGAGTTGCCAAGGAGAAAGGGACTTCCCTTATTTGGAAGACGGCTGCACGCTGGGCCTGGTGGCACACGCTGGGCCTGGTGGCGCACGCTGGGCCTGGTGGCGCACGCTGGGCCTGGTGGCGCATGCTGGGCCTGGTGGCACACGCTGGGCCTGGTGGCGCACACCTTCAGTCCCAGCACTCACGAGGCAGAGGTAGGCAGATCTCTCTGCGTTCCAGGTCTCAGTGCGTACACAGTGAGTTTCAGGACAGCCAAGGCTATGATATAAAGAAACTCTATCCCCAAAACCCAAAAAGAATAAAGAATAAAGAAAGAAAAAAGATGGCTACAGAGAAGTGTCACGAGTCAGTTGACGGGACGACAAGAACATTCTTCTGCTTATTCATTTCAAGGGTATTTAGGGTTCATTCTCATGACTCACTTCCAATACGGTCAGTCACCATTTGTGATTCGTCCCACCATTCTTAATCGAGGCGCTTAAACACTCGTCTCCCAAGTGTTTCAGAGAGAGGAGGCTAGCCCAGACTCCAGAGCAAGCCCAGAGCCAAGAACAGCCTATGTTGGGCCCATTTCACTTGTACACCAAAGCTGACAGTTCATAAGCAGTTAGCAAAGCGAGATGCTGTCGTCAACAGCAGGTCTGAGTCTTACGGAGTACGTTTTGAAAAAGACATCAGAACGCTGAGGCATTCACCAGGGCTTAGCAACCCACAGCCTACCGTCCAGATCTGGCTTGCCAGAAGTCAAGACCAAACGGTTAAGAACGAGAGATGGCCCCTCATGTCCGAGAAAGTGAGATGAAATCAGTATTCATGGCTACCTGGATCCTGAGTTGTGGTAGGGTCCATGGTCACCTGAAGAGTGATAACTTGGCAGCCACGCACATGTGGCGTGATAAAACCAGCCAGTGGTGTACATGCAGGTCTGACTTTGCAGGAACCTACTGACTGCTTTCTCCTCTTCACCCCAGTGAGCCTTTGCACAGAACCTATTATGGGATGCATGATGATGTGAATGGCAGAGACAAGATGCCACTGACAAAGTGATATTAGGTTTGCACCCAATAAAAAGTCTGAAACAGAAGCCAGGCATGGTGGGCACACCTGTAAACCTGACTCTCGGGAGATGGAGGCAGGAGGCTTGCCACGAGTTTCAGGTAAGTCTGTGTTCCATAGCCAAAAGCTCATCTCAAAGAAAATACAAAGGAGGGGGAGAACTGAAAATCATTATGCAGAGAGGAGCACAGGGCTGCAGGGAACAGACTTTGCTGAGAAGGGAAATGAGGGCTAGGGACTTGTGACGTGCCACAGTTCCGCTCTAAGGGGGAAACCAAGTCAGGCGCACTCTTTCAGCTCAGTGCTAAGGGCAAAGGGCAATGGTCAGCCTTCTCCGTGATAGTCACAGCAAGGCAAGCATCAGTCAGAGGGTCCTTATGCCGGTCAGCAGCGTTAATG